TTGCTCGACCATTTCGCGAAGCGAGGCCGCCGTGTTTACTTCGCGCGAAACTTCTCTAACGATAAGTGCATGCGTGGTGCGTTATCGCTTCGTGTTGCGTCGCGTCGTGTTGTGTCGTGTCGACGCTATCGATGAGACCTATCATCACGTGACGGTGCGACGTTTTAACCATCATTACGATCGGTTCGTCGTCTTCATCGAATGAGTTCGCGCAGTGCACGGCCGGGCTCTGTGAAACAAACGGCGAGCGTTCGGCCTCGTAGCTGCAGCTGCATAGGACTCGCTTGCGCGAGTCCGATTGTTTCGCGCCTGCGGCTGCGGTGAGAGACAGTCAGACAGTGCTGAAGGAAAAGCACCGGGGATGCGAGCGAGAGCCATGTTATTCCGAAAAGAATCACGCGGTATCGGCGCAGCGGTATCATTCATATCCAGTTTTACAGCGAGCGTCAAAATATCTTCGTTGTTTCGCGGCACGATCGATGTCCGAAATCGCGTAAACAAGTTCCGATCCTCAAGAAGGATCGTTGAATCTCGGAAATAAAGTCTTGACTCGAAATCTCGTCTTACACCGCTGAGAATTGAAGTCGAATGTCTAGAAACACGATTTTTTTACCTCACACGAAGGTTTACCTCGAAATTTTCAATAATACCGTCGTCGAACTTTTGTCTCGCTCGAATAGGCTCGCGGCACCGTGTCGGCGTTTCTATTTGTGTCACGTTTCGGGCCCGCTTTGAGAAAGATAAGGAGTTTACCGTACGTGTGTTGTGTGTTGTGTCGGGGAAATCAACAAAAGTGCGTTCGTCGGCGAGTGCGAAACTGCCGAGTGCCGAGGCTGCTAGTCGGAATTATTAATGCACTTTCCCGGCCGTGCGATGAACTAGATTCGCTCGGGCATTTGCTGCACGGGGTATTGTTAATGCAAAAACGCTTATTCACGTTTATTACGCAGGCGTGGAGAAGAAGCCTTAATTATGTAACTGAATGAGCGTCGCGTCTCTCGGTCTCGCTTCTCTTTCGGGGAAACATTACTTCGTTCTCGATTCCTCGCACGCGTGAAGGGAACGACGCGTTTTGAAATCAAAATCGAACGCCCTCATCGGCATTTTTCATTAATTATTCCATTTACTTCGAGCGTAAAATCGAGATCGCGTTTATTCACTCGGGCAATCTTTCAGCGCTGTTTAATTTCTGCGTTACAACGACATTGCGCAAAGCGAGGAACGAGATTCTGCATTCTCCTTCGACGTATTGCCCGTCCGTTTATTTCTGAAAGGAAGGAAAAAACGACTTAATGTATAACCGTTGTTAAATATGCGGAACCAGTTTGGAACTGCGCGATTTCGGCGCTACGAAATTCGACGGAACTGCACAAAGTGCCGAAACGTCTCTACATTATTTCGGCTAAATCGCCTTATAACGAGACGTAAAACGAGACTCCAGGCGGACCGGCGTCGCGGCGCGCAAAACCGGCCTCGTCACGATTTATTCGGGATCGGGATAAATAAAGCGGGGATCTTAATCAAGATCTTCGATCGGTCACGCCGTAATTAGCGACGGAACCGCGCGCGTCGATCTTTCGCCGGCGTCGTTCTAACGGCGGTGTCTACTTGGGTTTTTGCGTGATTTAATACACGTCTCGGTGTCCCTTTTTATGCGCGATATCCGCGCTAGTCTACCACTAAGCAATGCTAATCCATGTCGGCGATAAATGCCCGCGCACGTGTGCGGTAATCGGCTTGCGCGTAATAGAGGCCGATCGCGTGACGCAACCGATTCCGGGAAGCACGATGATTTCTTTCTTCTCTTTTTTTTTTTTTTAACCACGACCGTCTCCGCACGAATAATTTAAGGAATTTGAGGAACAAACTGATGTAAGCCAAACACACATTTCTTCTCTTCCGTTCCGAAAAAATGCCTGTTCTCAAGATAGGTAAATCGAGTGGAGACCGGTAAATTCAGCCAGGCTGAAAGTTGCCCGTAATCTAACATAGATCTCTTTGCGTGGCGTGATTCTTGTTTAAGCGTTTGTTATTCGAAAACGTAGTTTGTTTCTCCACGTAAAATTGGAGCGCGTTTCACTCGCAAGTGGGCTTGATGCGTTATCGCGTCGTTTCAGTTTGACTCGTTTCACTCTGCAGCTTTCGTTCCCTCGATAACAGTTCTTTCATGTAGGTACGTCAGAATCGATAATTTCGGGCTTGTTTCCTTCCGTTTTCCAAGCGTAAGATACTACGCGTCTATACATTTCCCGTCATGTTTACTCCAGAGTCTCGAGACCAAATTGTCGAAACGTACAAACATCTGCAGCTTCAAAACTTCCCGACACGGCAGTCAGCAAGTAAACTCGACGAAATTCATCTGAACGGCGCGGGCGCGCGGAGATCTGAATGAACGATGGAACTCGAGAGGAAAAGGCTCGCGAGACGATGCTATCTGTAACGTGAGAAAATGGGTTTCCCCATTAACCGATCTCGTTACGTGTAACGCCGCGCGCGTGTGAATGCACGTGCATTGTTAGTATTGTTACCGGAGAACACCGGAGCCGGTATCGAAGATATTAATAAATGGGTCGCGATCGCGCGTCGGCCGACAGCTGAGGAATCGGTTGCCTATCGCATTCTCGATTCCGGCCGGTGTTATTATTAGCGACGTGTGTAATAACAGTTCGCTTTGTTATTGGACTATCGGTCGTTGTCGGTAATGCCAGGTATGCGAATTCGTAGTTATCGGAGAAGATTGAACTGGTTCCGTGGAGAAGTCAACCGGGCATCCATCCTTCGCACGGCGAGTTTTGATTAGCGATATCTCTTAACAACGTTTCAGTGACTTTTAAATTGGTATAGGCACTTTGTTAACCGTTCAAATTTTTAGGAGTTGGATTATAACATCATCTGTTTATTAAGAAATGTAACCGTCACGAACGTAACAAATTTTAGGTGTGGGGTAATATGGAGATTAAAGCTCATTAGCGGTTTAGACACGAATGAAACTCGAGTAATACGGCAAACTCTTGAGAGCCTGCCTTGCAGGAGAAGAAGGAATCTTTACCACCGTGAACGCAACTGGATATTACGAAGCCTTTTAATGCGAGAGCGCGTGCATGCGTACAACCGCAAAGAATGCTCGAGAGGTAGATAATATGATGCCTGCGAGAAAGGCAAGAGCAAACATTAGGAACTGTTACGCCGCGCCGGCAATTTTGAAATCCGACAGGGAGAGATATATAAAGAGTGATCCAACTGCCGCTTACAGTTGCCGTTTGCCACAAATTACCAGTTTGCGTCACAATAATTCCAATAATTTTTTCCTGGATGGTTTATTAAGCGATGTCGTTTGATATTGTCGACGAGTTTCGTGATCTTTATCGATTGGATGCTCTCCTAAAAAAATTGCAAGATTGCAGAATAAATTGCAACATTTTGGAGAAAGCGGGAAGGAATAAATAAATTCGCATTCTATATGTAATCGATAAACAGCAATTTCGCAAACACTTAAATATTTAAAATCTACCTAGTTAAATTTAATGACGCTAATTATGATTATTAAAATAATGTTATTAGAAATTTAACGGCCGTGAAGCCGTTCAGGTCAGTCTTTTATTACGAATAGGTCTGTAAAACAAAATCCAGCATCGATTAATCCCCCTCTCGTTAGATCCGCGCATCCGACACGCGCGATTAGACGATCTAATGAGTGGCTCGCGTGGAGCGGCAAATTAATGAGGTATGCTCGCGGGGAATCCAATTAAGATGTAGAAATTAATTCGCCGCGAGGTGGCTCGCGCGGGAAAAGAAAAACGACTGAAGATTACTTTCACTGCGCGCACGTCGCTCGCACGTACCGCGAGTTTCCCCACAATATTTCGAGACTTTTACACTTTCTTGAGTTCGAGCGACATTCATTAGAATTCCTCGACGAATCGAAAGAGATAAATTTAAGCGCTAGTTATATCGATACATGACAGTTTAGATAACTCAGCTAATTGCGCATGATAAACGGGCTCTTTATCGCATCCTCGGAAAAATATCGTCGTAACATCTAAGATTTCTCTTTTACGATTGATTATTTGTCTTTCATTGTACTGGTTAAAGGTTAAAGAAAGATACTTATGAAGTCTCCTCTAAAAGACGCGTAATTAGACAGAAATAAATTTATTTTAAATTAAGTCACAAATTATTAAATGCGTTTTAAATATTTAATTTTTTTTCTTCAAATTAATAATTTGGTTACGACGATATTATTTTGATATTTCAGCATCTAGAAAAAAAACAAAAAAAATAAATTATAGTGCGACCGAGGACAGAGGCGAAAAAAAATTTACTCGCAACTGGTTTATTAAGATGACGATGACGCTGGCGAAATGTCAACGTTATAATTCTCCCGCGACATGTGGAGGAATTTATCCTTGCCATGCTGACTAAAGTATCGTGCACATCGATCGCGATGAACGACGCCGACGTGTTGATACCGTGCGGGCACCGTTGCCTGCATCGGGGATTAAAAAAATATCCCAGTATCGATAAGAAATTGTGGGACGCGAGCAGCAAGTGGATACTGCAATGGGATAATATAGTGAAGCATCCGGGTGCAAGGGCGAGAGGATGTCACTGCGATATCCACAAGCCGCCTTGGCTGTATCCAGATTTAGGTACATGAATTGATTCTGCTGCGCGAAGGGACGATCTTGTGACGTAGAGTTGTAATATATTAATTCACGATATACACAGATGTTTTTTATAGCAGTGATAATTTTTATTTATTGAGAGAAAACCTACATTGTCATTTTATTACAAAATCAGACGATATCGATTGAATCTGAATCGTAGGGCATAGTAAAATGTTATTTTCTCTAGATTATTATTTTGCTTTTAAATATTTAACATGTTTTTTTTTTCAAGTTTGCGCAATTTCTAAATTTTTTAATTTATTTTTGGAACTGTGTAGCGAGAAAGGGTGCGTGAATCACGATTGTGACGATTTTCTTTCTCTTTTGTTTCAGTTGGCAAAGATAGCGACGAAACCGATAGAGCGGTAAGTGTGGAATCCGAAAGACAGCTTCGTTGCATGTTTATAAATAGAAATAACATCTTGAGAGAAAAAAATAATGTTTATTGCAGATCAAATCGGCTCCCGTTAAGAGGCTGAACTTGCCTCCGAAAAGAGGTCAATTTGGGCCCGCTAAAACACCATCCTCTGCCTTAGGTATATCCAAATATTATCGAATGTATTTTACATGTCACCTTCTCACCATGTCACTTAATTACTATTGCGACTTACATCGTCAATCTGATATTCTGAATTTATTTTTTTATTTCTTTTAAGCATGATATATATGGCAAGAGTAGAACAACAGTGAAGCAAGTTTCTCTAAAATCGTTTTTCGTTAGTAGCTGTTGATGTGAAAATGACAAGTAGCAATATATGTAAATATATGTAAATACGTGGAACGAGTTATTTTTATAATTTATAAAAAGTAGACGTATTCGTGTCATATTTGGCTAGAATGTCAATGTTAAACATCGATATCACTTGTATGAAACGATAATACATAGTAGCACTGCTAATTTGTGTCGTATAAATCAGAGCTTTTTATGTGAGCAATTGTCTCGTGATTTTTACCTGAGATGTGTCTCTATGTTACATCCGAAATGTATATATGACTCAGCATTGACTCGACGTCACAGAAGCACTGGTCTCTCGTCAAACGAGGCGCACATGGGATGCCGTAATCCTTATACTTACGCTTAGTTTTAACCGCAACTGCGGCTTTACTTCTGCATTTTGTTAACAATACATTGTCAGAGAAACTCGCCAGCAAAAGGTCAACGTTATGTTGACGTTTCGATGACGAGGATACGCTAACTGTTCGCTTGCATGAAACAGCTCCTCCTGGTATTTCATCCAACACGGTCCCAAGGGCAACAACCATCAAAAGAGCTTTGTCAGTAAGATCGACAACAGGTATATCTAAATTCTATATACTATTGGCAATTACTATTCTAGAAAAGATTTTGAAAAAAATCCAGAGATATTTCCGATCGAGAGAAAATAACTGCATAGATAATCGCGCTGTTGATATAATTTAGAACCCTAGATGTCAATAATTTCTGCAACACAGAGTGTTGTCAATAAATTATATCAATTTTTCCCTAATTAGGATAATGAATGCCCTGCGCGTTATTGCTTCTTGATCAGTCATACGCTTTTCATCTCTATAACTTTACACGTAATTACACAGTGCTTATTTATTATCACGTGCAATCATCATTTTTTGTTGATCTGTAATGCATTTCGCGATCGCTTGAGCACTGTTCACAGCAATTTGTGTAACTTTTAGAATTAGTATCATATTCACTGATAGTTTCTGAAAGTGTAAAGCATGAAGAGTATAGTTTTTATAAACAATTGTTATTCTTTAGCGTACATGTACATATCCGCATTGAAGTGAATATAAAGAAAACTATCATTACCTGTCCAGCGCAAGCCGGAGCCGTCGACGAAGAATGCTTTATTACTTCGTTCGAGGACGTGCCTACCGTCAATCTGTTCTCGGCGAAGGATCTTGAAGAACAGATGAAGGTCATCAGGGATACTGTGGGTGACGATAAAAAGGACTGGAAACAGAGGATGGATAGCGTATGTATTGCGAGAAAACGAGATTTTCTTTTCGTGGCCTGACAATTTTTTATACATTGTCTTTTCTATTTTTTTTATTTTTTTTCCCCTAGATGAGAAAGTTAAGAGCCATTATACTCGCTGGTGGCACTAACTATGAAAACTTCCACGAGTGCCTAAAGAACGCACAGCGACCATTCGAGCAGGCATGCACCGACCTTAGATCCCAAGTAGTGCGAGAGGCGTGTATAACTCTCGCTTTTCTGAGTCAGAGCCTGAAGAACAAATTCGCCAATTTTGGCGAGGCGGTTTTGCTCACATTAATGAACCTCATACAGAACAGTGCCAAGGTAAGTCTCACGGAATGCTAGATCTCTGCTACGTTTAGATCCTATTATTGTTCAAATCGCTATATTCAGTCTAATTACGTATCTTTACTACGAACACTTATACCTCGTAGAATTTTACGACGTTCGCGTGTCCATTACTTTTTACGTAATCCATAGAAGATAAGAATTTAATTACACTTGCCATTTTCACGGTAACTAGGTCGTGGCGTCAGCCGGTGCGGTGGCAGTTCGCTTTATCCTTCAAAATACCTACTGCAGTCGATATGTGCCTATTATTATATCATGCGTGAACAGCAAGAGCAAAGATATTCGCAGGGCGTCCTGGGAATATCTGGCTTTAATCCTGCAGACCTGGCCTACGCAGATATTGCAGAAGCACATAACAATATTGCCGGACGCGATCAAAAAGGGTATCGCGGATTCCGACGCGGAAGCGCGAGTCTTTGCCAGGAAGTAAGTAGTCCTTTGTGGACGGATAAGTTCCAACGATGCCTGCCTTCGTTTACGACGAGGTCAATTTAATAACGTTGATAATTTTATCGTTTTTTATAGCTCATACTGGGCACTTAGAAATCACTTTCCAGAGCAGGCTGAAATACTACTTAATACCTTGGATGCGTCGTACAAACGCTCCTTGATGTCTCTGAGCAATAGCGGCAGTAGTAACAGCTTAAATGTCGTAGCTAATGCGAGATCGTCGAGCGTTAGTCCACGTACAGCCAGACCTGTGATGAGCGCGGCAGGTAAGGACTTCCGCTTGTTTATTACCTCGATAAAACGCTCCATTAAAACGGATTACGTTGCGATTGAATATATTAATGTTACTCGTGTTGCGATCCTAATATAAAGGACTTGTCACTCTGTTTTCATGCTGCTTTGCGACTTCTTCTCTTCTTTACATTAAACATATGAAGGTAGTACGGAAAATTTGCATCAGACCACGGGTCAACCGCACGGTCCGCTCAGACGTACTCCGTCCTTGCCTCGGTCTTATCGTCAATCTGGTATCCCGATACTACAAAGACCAACAGACAGTCACTGTAATTGTTCTATCGTCATTTTCTTCAGAAATAGATCGCACTTTGTACATGTCGTTACGTCACATTGCAAAGAAAGATGCACAAACGGAACTGTTATCGTTGATTTTCTGTTTTTTTAATCTTGCACAGAAGTTGTAAAGTAGAAGTTGATGTAAACGTAAAGCTGATACTCCGCAGAATTAATTTGTCTTGTACTTCTGCAGATCGAGGTACGCCAGGAGTTAGGTCCACCAGCGCGATTGATTTGCAAGCTGCTCAGAGAGCGAAAGCGAGATTGATGTACGCGAATATGAGCAGACAGAAAGCAGCAGCAGCACTTCGTAAGTAATATTTTATTAAATTCACCATGAAATCAAAAGATAAAATTGAGCACTGGAATAACTCTTAATCGATGCATATGTAATGAATACTGTATTTTATATTGAATCAGCTCGTCCTAGTAAATCTCCGGATCCCAATGCGGTTGCTAGCCCAGAAAGAATAGCAAGGACGAGGACAAGAGTGTCGGGAGTTTCACAATCCCAACGTACGTTTTGTAATTTTCTGTGAAAGAAAAAAAGAGACGTGCAACGGTGAATCTTTAACGAATTCTTTTTTTTACAACAGCTAGTAGTAGATCGGGTTCCCCGTCGTCCAGATTAAGTTACGCCACGTATAATCGCGAAGGCGAATCACTGATAGGCAGACCAAGGCGATTATCCGGACACGCCATTAGCAGCACAAGTAATAGTCGCGAGCCCAGTCCACAGAGATTCGGAATAGACAGGAGTTTCGCGAGCAAACTGAGGTAAGTACAATAATTTCGTTTATCGCAAATACTGTGAATTCATGTAATTATAATACGAATTATTTAAATTGATAGAGGGAGGAATCTACACATGTCGCCGACAGACAGCACTAGGCCGCCAGTTATGGCGCAGAAAATGCTGCAGAAGTCACGCGAAGCGGAGTCCGCTTTAGCGGACGCTCTAACTTTCGATAGTATCGATAACTACACCAGAATACCGGGCAACAAAGGGGATCACAGTGACGACAGCGAAAACAGCAGCATATGCTCGGAAAGAAGCATGGACGGTTTTAGACGAGCTAGTGATGTAAGTGCAAGTTTTTATTAGCAAATCAAAAAAATAAGAAAGTAACGCACTCTCGTTGGCTTCAGTATTTGATTTTTGTTACTTCGATCAAAAAATGGACATATATCACATTATAGAATCGAAGTTACATATGTTTATTGTTAAATTAATTTTTTCTTGTAAGCTAGCACACACGCGTTTACGAAGAAGAAATTGACGAACATTGTCACACATTATCTCATATGTCATGCTACATTAATATTGCAAATTTACACACGTTTTGATAAGATAATAGATTCACCGCTTTTTATAATTGATTGGTTAACGCTTATACACAATAGATTTTATTTTAATTTTTACTTTTACACTTTTACAACTTAATTTTATTTCAATTTTAACAGCATGCAAAAATTAATATGCAGATTTTACAAATGAATATTCCTGTTTTACAATTTAATAGAGAATTTTTGTCAAGATATAAAATAAATTTATTTTACTATTTTATTATTTACGTGAATCAGGTTTTCCTTAAGAAGAAAACGAGAATACTTCTATAATGCATAAAGCTTTTAGCACTGTATGATAATGTAGCTAATGCATGTTTGGTTTTTTACTTTTGGTTTTGTTGCGGCGTATTTGTTTGGTTTGGACTAACGCGACACGCCGTTCTGTTCTCCACATCTCTCCATCGCCCATCTACCCATTAGTCGTTCTCATGGAGTGGCTCTCAACCGAGACTATATCGTGATCTATGGGATCAGTCTATCCCGAAGGTTTGTTAAATTCCTTTCTTTTTATTTCTGCACATTCAAGTAAAACTGACTTAATAGTTATCTTTAAATCAATTAGTGCAGCAATTGATATGTTGATATTATAAAAGGAAAGGACTTATTTTGTGAACATTTTTCTTTTTGTTACTTATTTTTTACATCAATTTTTTAGAATACAATTATGTATTAACGTTGAAATTTTTAAAGAAATAAGCAACAATTTTTTCTCATTTTACAGGACATCAAAGAGATTATTGAAAACTGTGCTCACAAACATTGGGGAGACAGAAAGGAAGGCTTAGTGGGTTTACAACATTATTTGAGCAGCGGAAATACTTTGACACCAACGGATTTGCGTAGAGTGACGGATATTTTTACAAAAATGTTCATGGATTCTCATACCAAGGTGTTCAGTTTGTTTTTGGACACGTTGAATGAACTAATTATTACTCACAACGAAGGTCTTGGCGACTGGCTATACGTTTTGTGCGCGAGGCTTCTTAATAAATTGGGTACCGATCTATTGGGATCTATACAAACAAAAATTCACAAAACGCTTGACGTTGTGAGGTGAGGATTTATATGAGTTTTATGCGCGTAATACCGTATTGTCTGTATCATCGAGTTTATTGCGACTATTGAATTTTCTACATATATGTATATGTAATGATTTGTCCAGAGACTGTTTCCCGGGCCAACAGCTTCTACCGGCTGTGATGAGGTATCTGACAGATCCAACACAAACACCAAATTCTCGCGTGAAAGTAGCAGCATTGACTTTTATCACGCAGATCGCTGAAACGGCAGAACCGTCCGCGCTGGGCAGTTCTGCAGCGACAGCACTTGCACGGCTGCTCGACTGGTCGAATGACGGTAAAAGCCACGACGTGAGGAGGCACGCGCAGAACGCTGTGATATCACTTTACAATCTCAATCCGCCTCAAGTTACTATGATACTTTCCGAGTTACCAAAATACTATCAAGTGCGTGGAATAAACTTAGCATTGGTTTACTCATCAGCGTTTCTTCCCTTATTCTCGTGCTGAATCATTGTTTTTCTTTCTTTAGGAAACAGCCTGGCCTCTGGTGCAGAACCACCTGAGGAAATCGTCCGCTTCTAGTAATCCGGCATCACCCGGTACACCACCGCCCAGAGCGCAGAACTCGCCTGCTCGAACAAAAGCGAAAAACGACGTTAAAGCAGACGCGAAGACTGAAATCGATGGAGGGGACGAGAATTTGGAAGAAGTATACAAGTACGTGGTCAACGTTTTGACATGTTAAATTTGCAATACTAAGTCTAGACGCTTTATAATTTCGAAACATCTTAATCTTTTAAAGTTCTCCTTCTAGATCTCTGCGGCGCACGACTGCCGAAATCCAAAATTACGGTTTTGAACGTTTGGAAAGAGCCACTACCAGCAAAGACAGCGGTATCAGCAATATGGCGGATGTAGAAGAGAGAATGGAAGGTCTTACGTTATCCAATTCTGTAAGCTTAATAAGATAAATAGCATGACAAAACAAAAACGAACCACAAAGATCTAAGGTCATTTTAATTATTGTTTTCAGGGTCGATCTTCGTCCGTTTCCTCACCGACGCAACGAGGACGATCTGTTAGTAACATAACGGTGAACGGATCCGATACAATTGCCGGTGATTTGATTCTACCTCAAGAGAATAATGGTTACAAAACGCACGGTATGTGCTTAATTTTTTTAATTGTTATGTGCAGAAAGATCTGCACATAATAAAACCGAAATATCTAACGTTATTTCGTATTCAGGATCATCACCAGATTCGACAAACAGACCAGACATCGTACCAGAAATCGTAGACAATATGGTTAAAACTCTGCAATCAAAAGAGGCGCAAACTGCGGAGAAAGTGTCATCGTTGCAAGAATTTCAATTATATGTTCGCGAAGGCGATTCCTCATATATTAAACGAAATTTCAAGTATGTCACGATGGAACTCTGGCGTATCTTACATGGCGATCTAATCTTGATAATTTAACAATTTTCTAATATTTCAGAAAAGTGCTCAAAGTTTTGTTAGACAGCTTATCCAACGATGGCAAAGTGGTACAAGTAGAAGTGCTGCAAACGTTAATCGATATGCTTAAATGCTCCGATCTGATAGAAAGCTTTTCCTCTTATAATGAGTTATTAGTACTGAAAGTTATCTACGCCTACAAATCGGACGATCAAAAGGTCGATTCTTCCAGCGGTAGCGGCGGTAGATCTCCAGTGAGTATTGATTTCGTTTAATTTTTTAATTAACAACAATTAGCAGAGTTATATATTTATGGCGCCGTTCATAATAGGTCCATTGGAACGCGGAGAAGTGCGCGGCGACGATGGCGATGGTTTTGAAGCCGGAACAAATTATCCATTTGGTCTCCACTATAATCGCTACGGAATCGTATCCATTGAATATGGGCGCGATAAAAATGTTGCACAAGGTGGTGGAGCATTGGGGTCGCGAAGCTATCGAACCTCACCTTGCCAAGGTTATGCCTGGCCTTATTAAGGTGAGTAAACTTCTGCAAAACTTGTACTTCGCGTTATATAAATTTTTTGTACTATATACTGATTGTATTGCATTTTTCTTTGTAGGCTTACGACGACGCCGAGAGTGCGGTTCGCAAGAGCGCGGTCTTCTGCATGGTGGCGATCCACGTTGCTGTTGGCGAGGAGGTTCTGAAGCCGCATCTGAGCTGCCTGTATTCCAGTAAGCTTAAACTGCTGAACATCTACATACAGCGCGCACAGCAACAGGCGAATAGTCAACCCGCGAGTCCACGTAGCAACAGCAAGAATTAACTAACATCCAATACCACGACTCTCAGGGTCGCGATACTTAAGAGATTCGCCCGTTTCAGCGCGCGGCATGAGCGAATGCTTGTTAGCTTTCTCAGTAAGTCCGATCCGTCATGATGGTCGACGTAACGACGGTTTTAACAATATGACTCGGAAGTTTTGATACGATAGAGACTGATGTGTGTATATGTGTGTATGTATGTGTGTGTGCGTCACTTCGCGACGGCGTGCGAGTCGCTGTCTGAGACGGTGATGTGTGCGGAATCAGCGTAACGATAATCGTCTGATGTTACGTTTATCGAATTTGTTTATAGAAGATTAAGGGCGTCTTATACATGTTGGTTAATTCTTATTAAGAAAGTAAAGCTTGTGCAAAAAGAATTCGTAACACGCGGTTCACCGATTTCTTTCGTCTTTTATGAGTATGAAACAGCTGAATTGTACGATTTATTGTATAAGTACATTTAAGTGAGCGTGTCACGCAATAACTTCGGTTAGCAGATACGTCCTCAAAAAATATCGTTCCATAATACGCTCACTCGAGGTTTACTCTGTGGAAAATATTTATAATATTACATTTTCGTTTGCGAAGTGAACGGCTTCTCGATTCGTTTAAATTTGCTAATCGCTTTTTTATTTTTCTTACCACGATACTGTACATACGATGATGATCTATGCGAGCTATGTCGTGTTTTATGGTGCGGAGCTACAGTATTCGGGAAGTACAGTATTTCTGTTGATACAGACATGGCCAAGCTTTTATTTCCATTTTCGCAAGCTACGGGATTGATACATGTTTTTCCTCCCGGTTTTTCAAACCTTCCATCGTCATGAGAAAATTTAGCGAGACAAATGGTAAACTGAGGGGAACACGATGCAACATTACTGTCTGTGGACAATGAGTTCAATATTTCTCATAGTGCACGGTCGAACACTAATCATGCGGATTAATCAGCAAACGTTAAATATATATGCTTGTTTACATTTAGTACCGAATCTACGTCTAGCGTTGACGCGTAATCGCACGTCCGGCGATACGTCGTGACGCACCTCACAGCAACGATACGTGATAAAGGAAAAGTGGAAAGTGTATAATTTATTCGTTTGAAATCTACGTGCTAGTCAGATTCCCAAGGACGCACAATGACGTAAAAGACACAAACAGAATAGTCGAGTCTTTTTTGACGAACCATGCATAGACACAGAAATAATACATACATACAAAAAAGCATATGTGTGTGAGAGAGAGAGAGAAAGAGAAAAGCGCGATTTTAATGTGAGAGAATGAGAGATTTGCGTGGCTGAGAGATTAGCGCGTGTTTAAGAAGCAAGCATAAATAAAGTAGCAGTGGTTAGTAAATTGATCTGCTCGAGATTAAAGTTAACACTTAACTATTCATCACGTTGCCAATAATTGAACACTAAATCAAACGCTAACTTAACGAGTTTAGTAACACTTTGTGCCATTGTCGTTTCTGTTTACTGTATAAGAGAAAAAATTATATGTTATATATTCTACAATGTAGATCACCCCTTTTGTCCTTTCTTACTATATATATTTAATCGAGATACGATATAAGGATAATAAATCTAATTTTATTATGAATTTGTCAAGGCGGATCATTAAAATATTATGAAATATCAGAAAAAAATTTTTTTTGGAAACGAGCGTGAAAATAAATATACCGGACTTAAACAGGTAGAGAAACGTGGAGTCACTTACAATAAGATGCAAATGTCTGATAATACCTCGATAATTCAGCGTGACAACGCGGTGGTAATTTACGTCTACGAATACAATACGGCCAAATAGTGCCAAAGAAAATGCAAAATACCTGAAACGAATAGAATGAAGAGTAAATTTGAAAGGGGAAACACGAGACAGACTGTATTTCTTTTACTTGGTGCCTTTGGCGTCGACGCGACGGGATTGATTGAATAGTCTTTCAGCATTCACCTATAGGAACAATTTCGCGGGTAGCACAGTCGAGATTATAGAGGAGAAAGATACGCACGAGGTCTTCGACTGTTGCCGACGTCGTATAAAATGAACCCTACTTCGCGATAAAGAAAAAAAAATGAAAATTAAAAAGATCTTATCGATTATTCTCGTAGCATAGAGAAATTCTAGACTCGATATTTTTCCCATTCTGCGCTCCGAATAGAATCTCGAAAGTACATTTCACGAATAGATATTTATTCCACACGCGTGTATTACTCTGCGCTTGTGCGACACTTTGTTTAAAATGCTGAATTGTCAAATTATTGTCGAGAAATAATGGTTTAATAATGGTTTTTCGATAGCTCTCGTAGGAAGAGACGAGACGGATCCTCGTTGCGCATTTAAGTGATCGATATACCGCGCGGCGTTCCGATTGAGGGATTTAATAATTCTGCGCCTTTAAATCCGCTGAAGATCCAAATGCGCTGTTGAGTAACGGGCCCCCTGCAAAATTAAGTGTATGAAATTAAAGGGTTCACCGCAAGAATCGAGCAAATCGTTGATTCGCAAGATCCATCTTAAATATACATACATACACACACACACACACACACACACACACACACACACACACATATATATATATATATATATATATATATATATATATATATATGCATGCGACGTGTATATACTTGATATGCATCCTGCGAATGTTGCCTTCTTGCGCTGAACTCCGAGTTTTCGATGTCGTAAGACTTCGCCCGGCGATCCATTTGACTTCACGCCGATTTTAGGGCATGGCCTGTGTGACGTGTACCGGTTGTGTGTGTATATATATACATATTATGCGATATATAATGCGTAGAACGTGTAATTATATTATACGTAAAATATAATAATTGATATACAGATTAGGTAGCTCGTCGTCACTGCCAGCAGCGTTGGTCGTGCTGAGGATAACGAGGCTCTCTCACAGCCAGACTCTGCGTGGTGATCGTGTTTATCGATTCGCTTGTTCTGTTAAGTTTTACGAGCGTTACTATTATTATTATTAATATTATACCGATACTCGACTTGCGTTGTAACTGTAACTCGATGCGTGTGTGATATACATGAGGATTTGGGCGGTGAGCGTCACGAACGATCCTCGGCGAGCAGCCCCTCCTTCCTTTTCTTCTCACGCGAACGCGAGCCGGATCGTTCGGTCGCTTACGGAGAGCCGTAGAATGTAAGCCTCTTGCGTTATCATTTTAATGTTTGTTAACATCCGCTGTTAACTGTCCCGCTCGCGCATAATAAATTTCGTCGTTAAGCGTTTCTGTCGTGTCGCCCCCCGCCCCCTGCTCCACGTGCACGCTACCGCGTCTCTTCTTTTTTTTTCTTTTGCATCCGACAAATCGTGGTTTCGTTCGTCCGCTTCGATCGACGCGTTGATTATCCTCCGCGATTTAACTATCGAAAAAACAATCCCATGTGCGTGCGCGATGGTCGACCAACGGCGCGACTCGCGCGATTCGCTATACGACGCTTGTTTCTGAAATTCGAGAAGTCATTATAATATGATACCTTAGACCTGAAATTCTTCGACGGCGTGGCGGAGAAAGCTCAATTTGAAGAGCTTGATTCCCTGAGCAAGTACGTGGAAGTAGTGATTATTTATGAAATAAAGAGCGTATATTGTGCTAATTATTTTTCGTTGCCATGAAAATTTTAAACGGTCGATTAAGTTTATATTTGACATATTAAAAAAAAAAAAGAGTGCGATGATCATAGCGGATTCTCGAGATCAACGTTGTTCTCCATCGTCGTATCGCTTCTCGCGCTCATTTCTCTCCCGTAGAAAATAATACGCGCGTGATATCGAGGAACGTAAGCCACCCCCGAAGCAAACGAGCGCGAACGAACCGCGCTCAGTCCGCGGATCCGGCTCGACGCAGCCTCGACGCAGAGACGAGATGCCCGAGAGAAGGAATAAAATAATGAATAAAACGCGAAGAGGAGAAGCTCGAAATTTTTTCACGCCGATAAATCTGAATAATAAGCCACCGTCGCGACGATATTACACTGTATAATTGTTATTGTAATTGCCAACTTGACATAATAAAGCATTGCTACGAGACGCCGGCCATTACTGCTCCCCGCATTTTCGTTCGCGAGTTGTCGTCTTTCCTTCTTTCTTCAGTATGAAGATCGCAAAATATGTAGCTGAGTTTGGCAATTGCAATAGCAATTTCTGTCATTGTTCGCTCGCTCGTTTCACTCGAGACCCACCAGGATGTTCCAAAAGTCTCCTGAAAAAATAAACGTTTAGTCCCAACCCGGTCTTTTTAATCAATCCCGCATTTTTTTTTATCGAAACTTTATTATGAAGAATTAGCCCAAGTGCGATATTTATTAAGCGATTTCATCCTTTGTGAGGTCGTAATCAAATTAGGCCAAGTGCTTTGTATTACAAACGCTTTATTAAACTGTTCAATATAAACAATGGCATCGTGTATACTGTATATTGTAGTAGAAGCTCATATAACGATACGATGTACATCGACCTAAATATCATCACGTATACACGAAGAAGAGCGGCAGAACGAGGAGAAAATCTCTTTGTTCCAAATTCACGCGTTTTTGCGACATTGATAGCACATCTCGCCAACACTTCGGAAATTCGTACAACACGATCTTTGAATAAGAATTTTTCGCTGTGAAAAGATATAAATTCACAGAAAGATCTTTTTGAGTCGTAAACGAATACCAGAAAGTATTTCGCTATGGATAAATTGGGTATTAATTAAAACTCGTTCATTTCGCGGGAAATAAGAAAAACAAGAAGTGAGAAAACAGTATCACATGTGATAAAAGTAAGTTCGTTGATGGCCGGTTGCATCGAGCTTGGCTTCATCGATTCCTTCGTTTCTTCCTACCGGAACGATCGGTTAAACGGTGGCCAAACATGGGACGTTATTCATAGACTCGCAGAGAAGATCGGACTATGAATATCGTTTATAATCGCGATGAAACCGGTCATCGGTCGGAGATGAAATTTGTCCTGCACAGCACCGGTGAACGGTACCAAAAGTCGCCAAGCGCGAGCCGAAAATCGTGGGAGGTTCGTCTTTTGTTTTAGCTATTACATTCGTGTATGGCATATCGTATTTTAATGTATAAAAATAAAAAGTTCGGCTCGCCGGTCCTTCCGGTATATCGACGAGTGCCGTTCATCGGGTTTACTCGACGATTTTCTCCTTTAAAGTCTATTTAGACGGAACGATCTTGCAAAATTGTGTAAGGCCAGATCCACGTAATAATTTAATTATTCGATTACAATTTAATTAAATGACAATGTAGTTATTTTTTAATTACATATCTGATTGTTGAGACGTGAGTGACAAACGTACGATTATATCCATGTCGCTGTTTTTTGTTGAAATTCATCTGCGCGATATGAATGGAATATGAATGTTTTGAATTCTGCAACGTCTTGCGATCACCATTGCGAGTGGTTTTCGAACAATGTCTCGCTCCGTCTAAATGGTTCTTAATGACGCTAAACTAATAGAGAATTCGGGCGCTTGCACTAGTGCACACTGAGTGCGCACTAAAGCTTGTTTATAATCTATTCTTATATTTAAAGTCATTTAAATACACATTTAAAAACTTTTTAGCCAATAAAACAATCTGTATATGGGTCTATATGGATGCTGTACAAATCATTTTACAGACTAAGAAGTATTTGAGATGATCTGTAAATATAACAATTGATTAAGAACAAGCCTTAGTGCGCACTCAGTGTGCACTATATAGCGCAAGCGCCCGAAATCGCTATAAATATCTCTTGAATGATCTAAGTATCTGTCCTAAGTAAACGGCGCCACACGTGAACGGATTATCCGCTTAATAAATCCACTCGATCGCAGCGAGTTCGCGAAACTCCATACTTATTCCTTGAGGAGGAATGTTCAATCAGAAAATTTATCAGGCATCGCTATATATATTTTAGATTTTTCGCAGAAAAAAATAAATAAAGATTCAGCGGTGCATAATTTACCCCGCTGTACATGTGTTACGTAAATATTAAATTTGCTATAGCTAGACGATTTGAAAATCGTCCATGTTAATGTTTGTAAATTATTTCATCATTTCTCGAAGCCCCGTTGAAGTAAAACTACGGCGAAATCGAGCGACAGATAAAAAAAAGCGGAGAATCCTTATCGCGATCGATTCTGCGATAATAATCTAAACAAAAACGGCTGATAAATTTATTCCACAGGGTATTGTGAAAGACCCAAATTAACATTCAATGACGAACTTTGTTCTAATTTAGACGCGTCACCGAAGGAATTATGTTACGGATGCGCGAACGATACGCGATATATATGTTGCTTCGTAAACTGAAATCGAATTATTTTTTTACTACGGATTTCAAAAAGAAGACGACTATTGAAATTTTGGAGAGTCTAGATGCACAAATCAAAGACATCCAACAGTATGGGCAGACTACGGAGCAGAGACACAAGAAGATGGTTGGAACCATCATCATCTATGGAGTTATCCTTTATATTATGACAGCATACATCTTTTACTTTTGTTTCTTCCCAGCTTCGTTGTACGATCAGCTCTTTTATATAACACATTTTTTTTTTTTTTTTTTTTTAGATGTTCTTGTGGCAAGACATACTCTCGGTAGTTTGCCATTGCCTTCCGAGAGGAGAACGAGCGAATAAAATTTTCTAGCTCTACCGGGAATCGAACCCGGGACCTTTGGCTCAATAGACCAGTGCGTTGTCTACTGTGGCCACGCTCGTCCTCAATTTCAAGTAAGTTTGATAAAAATAAAGAAGTAAGCACACAAACGCGCGCGCGGGGAAACGTAAATGAAGTAAATTATAAAGTATGTTGACTTTTTCTTAACACATAATGAGAGCTAGAAGTGTAAAATATCTTTTTAGATCATAGATGTAATTGTCAATTGAAACATTGCTATTAATAGAAATCGTTGCTATAATTTAAAAATAACAAATATATGATTGTTGGTAATATACGTAATGAAACTTATAGACTTTTCTTATCTAAGTTTTGATTATATAGCAGTTGCAAGACAATTTGTGGAAAATGTATGACGATTCTATACTTATGATTATAAACGATCGTTATCACGCCGATAGCTTCTAGATTAAATATAGTATCGTAATAAACAGGAAATCTGAGAATGCGCTCTATATTGTGTTACTTATGATTACACTCTATTGTGATTCTAGATAGGCTAATGAAACTCATGATTAATGTATATCGGCTCGTATTCGACCTTAATGTAACTGTGAATTGTAAAAATGAATGTGTGATTGTTTCTCATATTATAACCTGCGACATCAGATCGGCATCATAATACTGTAACGATAATCCTCACGCGAAATTCTTGAAAGAAAAATTGGAGGCACTATGCTTGGACGTTCTCGCGCGGAGCGCGATTCTTTGTGAAACGCAAATCTTGCGTTTTTTTTTAATTATTATCTTCCTCTCTTTCTCTCTCATTACGTAATAACGTTACATTAATAATATATCTCGACATGTTTTATCAGCTCTAATCCAGCGAGAAGCGGAACATTGGAGAAATATTTTACGCTCGCCTTTTATCGCCCACATCTACGATAATGGCAATACGTGTCGCGCGTGAGTGTTTAGATCAACTTTGAATTATTCAACAATAAGTGAGAATAAATGAAAGCAACGAGACGCGACGTTATATTCGTAGCTGAGTTTTAGCTTCGCAATTCATTTCTTCGCATTTCATTTATCATCCCGTTCGTAAAGTTGTGCACCCTTCCGAATATTCCCGTCGGTTTTTCCGCCAGATGCGATTCAAATAAATTCGAACAAATTATAATTTAAAGTCGTACGAATAAATTTTACTAATTATATCATTAATATCAAAATGACGTTTTGCATAGCTAAGTATATCTCGAGCGTGCGGTTCAACGCACGTAGTTATTAGCAATTTGTCGTGTAAGAGTCGAGACTAAGTGCGAGATTTGGGTATCTAATATTTCTCCGTCACTTTTTTCCGAAACAACTCAAACTCTACATTTATACAAAATTCGCGGTTGGCGGATCGCAATAAAAGAAAAAAGAGGAAAATAAGAGAGAGAGAGAGAGAGAGAGAGAGAGAG